TCACATCCAGGATGAGTTGCGGCGAGACGGTGGCACCGCCCGTGATCGCCTTCTTGATCTTGCCCAGTGGCATCTGCAGCTTCCGCTGCATAGCAACCAGATCCACATACATTGTGGGTGTGCCGTGTATCACAGTGCACTTCTCCTTGATGATCGCCTTCAACGAGTCCTCGGGACTGAAGCCGGCTGCTGGCAGGACGATAGTGGCGCCCGTGGCCATGGACGCCATGATGGTGATCACCACGCCAAAGGCATGGAACAGCGGCACCTGGACACAGATTCGTTCGCCGGCTATCTCGTTGCGCTTGCCCACGTGGATGCCATTATTGACGAAGTTGTGGTGCGAGAGCACCGCCGCCTTGGGATTGCCGGTAGTGCCGGATGTAAACTGCACATTGCAAGGACTTTCGGGAAGGATTTGGCGTTGCAGTTTGCTAATCTCTGCCTGCTCATCGGCATTGCTCAGGCCTAGCACATCGTCGAAGCGCAGCGCTCCCTTCAGGCTCTGTGTGCTATTAATAATAACCGCGCGCAGATGTGGAAATTTCTCGCTTTTGATCTTGCCCGGCTCCGAGTCGGCCAGTTCCGGGCAGATGCTGCGCAAGATCTCATAGTAGTTTTGCGTCCTGAATGTCTCGGGCGCTATAATGGCTTTGATGTCCACCTTGTTCAAGCAGTATGCAACTTCGGGAGCCTGGTAGGCAGGATTAATGCCCACCGATATGAGACCTGCTCGCGCTGCCCCCATCATGCCCAGATACCATTGCACATAGTTGGGCGCCCAGATGCCCACGGCATCGCCTTTGTTTAGGCCCAACTTTCGCAGGGATGCTGCCAGCCGATCCACCTCGGCTATCAGGCTGCGGTACGTATATCGCTTGTCCTCGTGACACGACACCAGCGCCTCCGTGCTGCCAAACTGCGAGGCGGCCAACTCGAGCTGTTGGCCCACACTGCGGTAAGCCAGCGGCTCCTTGCCTATGTGATGTATGTAGCTGCTGTAGGCAGGGCTCGAAGTGGAGAGCCTGCAATGGAAAGGTCGAGAGATGTAATAATAAAAATGTATATGTATTTTAACTGATGGGAAATTTTACAATCTAATATAAAAGTCTATAAATTATTTGTCCAAACACATCAAAAACCATCGTCTAACCTTTTCTAACCTTCACATGATATGACAATATTTTTCTATAGTGATCAAAATGGGGCTTGTCTGTAGAAACTTTTTGGAATTATATAACCTCCATAATATGTACTTAGCGATAAAGTTTACGGGCTTTGAGTTTTATCTGGGCTTATATGTAAAAGTAAATTAGTTAATCATAAAATTTTATAGGCTTTTATGAATGATCTACCTATATCAGCTTTTATAAGGTATTTTTATAGCACATGTAGTTCAATAAAAATTGTGCACTGAAATATGTTAACATATTTGCAGCGATTCGTGTCTCTGCTGCGAATTGGTTGTGTGTCTTTGATATATCGAGTTCTCAAGCTAAGAAAAAGCTATGAAAGCTTGAGCCAAAAATAGTTTATAGCAAGTATTTTATGGCGCTCTGTTTACAGTAACTGCTCTTCAACGTTTCGTCTATTGTTTTTGTTTGGCTTAGCTTGGAGAGCGGCGTATATATACATGTGTGTGTGTGTGTGTGTGTGTGTGTGTGCACGCATTAAACATGTATGTATGTATGTGCGTAAACATATGCACATACATACAGATGTATATAGAGGCATGTTAAGGGTTACATGCGTTGGCTGCTTATCGCGATAATTGCGTATTTGTTTATATACCGAGTTATTATATCATAATATTTAATAATAGGTAAAAACAAAAGTAGGTGTGCTTTCTGGTATCAACTGGTTTATATCTGTTCTAAATGTTAACGGAAATGTCCAACAGCAACAGGTGCTTCAAACGATTTGCGCATTTGCATGAAAACACACATTTCTATTTGTTAGACACTTAATACTTATACTAGATTCGATCAGATGCTCTGCACAGCTTGTTAAAAAGGGAAGCATTTCGTATATGGATTCTTTGGAATATTACGTAATTTCTCTGGCAATACAGAGAAGCTGACGTGGAGAGGAAGAACCCCAAAC